TTTATTTATTTATTTGAGAGAGAGAATGAGAGACAGAGAGCACGAGTGGGAAGAGGGTCAGAGGGAGAAGCAGACCCCCTGCTGAGCAGGGAGCCCGATGCGGGACTCGATGCCGGGACTCCAGGATCATGACCTAAGCCGAAGGCAGTCGCCTAACCAACTGAGCCACTCAGGCGCCCCACAGAAACACTTTTGAGCTTGCCAGTAACTGGATGCGTATACACAGAAAGTGCAGATGGTATTACACATTACCATCTCTATGATCAATGAGGTAGGTACTGCTATTATTTTTATGCTACAGGTGGTAAAATGGAGGCTCAGAGAGGAGAGGCCAACTTTGTCAAAGAACATGCAGTGGTGCTACGATTTGAAGCTAGGTTTGTGTGGCTTTGGAGACTGTTCTCTTAACCACTATGTTGTATGTTGTCTTAACATTTTTTCAAGCACAAAAGGTGAGAGGACTGCTTTCAGTTGCTGCCAAGCTCCTGGCAAGAACCCATTCAAATTCAGTGCAACTTCAAGTGACCAAACTGTGTTTCTTGAACAGCAGTAGAACTCGAAGCCAGGGTATCCTGGACATGCTCCATGCTTAAGTGTACAACTCTGTCAGAAATTTCAGTCACTCTTTCAAAACGTAATGAATACTGACTAACCATGGATTAAGAGGGATACAAACCCCCTGTGGAGGAAGGTACAGTAATAAATGAGAAATGGTCTCTGCCCTCAGGGAGCTTTAGGTAGGTCAGCTATTAAGAGGTGAGTGCACTAAAGGCAGCATGTAATCACAGGCCCTTCCGGGAGTGGGAAGCTCAGGGGAAGAAGAAATGGAGCCATACGGGGGTCGTGGCGGTCAGAACCAGAGCAGCTATCAGAGAGAGTGGCCAGGGACAGTCCCAGTTTATCTTGGTTATCCTGGCTTAATTATTTATAGCATCTCTTTTCACCCTCAGGAATATAGTCGGGATGATATGATCACTCTAGTTAGTGAGCAAGTTTTTGTTGTCCTGAGTTCACTTAATTTCTGAGACAATTTAACCTTAGTTGTGAGCTTGAAAATACTGGCTATAGTTCAGCTCTACTTGCATCTGTCCAAATACAAAGTAAAATGCTAGACTTCTCTGTAGATGAAAACCTGTTTGAATATCTGACACTATATAAACGGTAACCATACTTCAAAATAGAATTTTCTTTTACTGAAGAGACACATTCCCATCAAGTGGTTCTGAAATATGCATTCTTTAATTCTTCCACACACAACAATATACATGCATATCTGTTGTTATGGAGATTTCAAGGGAAGGCAATACTTCTAAAGATTTCTTTCAGGTAAGAGTTACACAGAAAATTAGTTCTGCAGCCTACATCCTCTATTGCATTGTGGCTTCTATTTTTCTCCAACCCATAATGAGAAAGAAACTGCAGAACGTACGATGGAGTGGCATCCAATGATGGGGTTCTGTACCTTAAGTAAGAACCCAACTAATATAACAGGGAGTCACTATTGCCAAGTCTTCTTGGATGAAGAGTCCTTCACAGGACATGCGAATTATACAGCTATAAAACATTTCTCAAGTATGCCTATGAAGTGCTGCTTATAAATGTCCAGTTATAAGACAAGATATGAAACAGCTTTCTCAAGTTGGGAAATAAATGAAAAGAGGCCTTATTACCAGTAAAAATATTTTAAACAGGTTTTCCCGAGGAAGACAATGTCAAGGTCTTTGGTTTGTTTTTGATGACTATTTAATGACGGGGAAATGTTCATGATATAATGGTGCAAGAAAAAAAATAAAATCAAAAGTTGGTTATACAATATGATACCAATTTTGTAAAAACTGATGCCAAGATATTAAAATCTTGACATTTACTGAATCAGTAGTAAAAAAAAAAAAAAAAAAAAATTTTTTTTTTTTTTTTAAAATTCTACCTTTCATTCTTCAAAACAGATCAGGGCAAACTTAAGTCTGTTTCCATCACTGAAATAAACAACATAGGTTTCTACACTCCTCAGTAAATATGCATTTGGTCTTTGACACAAGCATCTCTGAACCATCTGTAGATAAAGGTCTTGTAAACAGCTCATAACGTCCTCAAAAGGATGTTGATTTATGACCATGAGAACTCTATGTATATTTAGATAGTTTTACAAGAATGGAGGACATCGAGAAAATCCCTACGAAATTTCCCTGATTTTAAGTGGTAACTGGGAAAAAGACTTAGAATGACAATGACAAATCAGCTTTTATTTTTAAGCAAGCATGCAAAAAATAGGAATATTTATAGTTGGCATAACTACAGGTATCCCTGGCTTTCGAAAGTTCACTTTGCTTTTATGAAAGAAGGTGGTAATAAGCGAAAAGAGCCTTCACCATTTGTTTTGCAGCGAGCCGTTACAGGGGCAGCATGCGCCTCTTGAGCAGCGACAACGGCCCCGTCAGGCTCCTTCCCTGGAAACTACACTCAGCAGCTCAGCATCCAGCCGCCAGAGCTGTGAACAGTGTCTGGGAGCATCTGCGCTTTATCTCGATTTATTTTGTGCATCCCTTAGCAAGATGTGACCTAAAGGTATCGGAAAAGCCTAAGAGAAGTTATTTTTTGGATCTAGAAACACTAAAACATTCTTCCATATAAATTAATAGGAATTACTTCTTTGCTTTATGCCATCTCGGCTTATGAAAGGTTTCACAGGAACCCCCTCTACTTTCAGACAGCAGGGGAAACCTGTATCTGCCATGTTTCACATTCTGTTTTTCCCTTTCCCAGGCCAAATCAAACTACTGAAACAATTACTACAGATTAGAAGAACATCCCTATCAATTCCAATACTTCTGATTTTTAAGTATTAATGAAACTGTAGAACTAGCAAAAATGTTTAAGTTTTGCTAGAATACATACTCTACAATTTTAACTTACATTGCAAAATGTTATTTTACCTACTTTTTATAAGTGAACACTCCAAGGATATCATAAAAAGTACCTCTTCCCTGCTCTGGGGTACCCAAACCGCCACATGCTACAGTAACATTGTTTCTCATGTATCCTAGACATTTTCTACTTCATTTTATATTTATATCCATGCACAGGTATTTTTCTTGGATTACACTGTTCAGCAACTTGTATTTTTCTTTAGAACTGTGGACTTTGAAATTCAGCTACCTTATTCTCTTTAACAGCATCTGTGGTCTTTCACCATAAATTATATTATTAGTAACCTTGACTCATTTTGACTAGACTGGTTACACTGTCCTTTTTAAGAGTCTCATGCTCGGGCGCCTGGGTGGCTCAGTTGGTTAAGCGACTGCCTTCGGCTCAGGTCATGATCCTGAAGTCCCGGGATCGAGTCCCGCATCGGGCTCCCTGCTC